TCCATCCATTCATCTATCTATCTATCATCTATCTTCTTGTTCTTTCTTTCTATTCATGTATCTATCTATCCTACGTGAATAGACCTAGCATCCATCTATCTATCTATCTATCTAGCTTATCTATTCATCTGTCTCTCATCTGTTTCTATTTTCTATCTATCCATGTATCATCAATCTATCATGTGTCTATCTAGCTATCATTTATATAGCCATCATCTATCTGTGTCTATTGTCTATCTATCTATAACGCTATGTAACAAAATTTGAAAAAATGTCCTGTTCCTAGTTCGAAAATATTATTTCCTGTTTAATTGTGCAGTCCTTGCTTTGAAAGTAGTTGTTGCATAGTGTTACACAAATGTTATCTAGCTATCCATCCATATTACAGGCATCTCTCCCCAAAGGCAACCTCAAAGTGGACAGCTCCTCTGTCTTGGGTGTTTTAAAGACTCGCTGTTGACCCCGGCATGGTTTCTGACTCGGCTTTGCCCCACCGACTGGCAAAGAGAGGCGAACATGGATCTGGCACGGCTCATTACCTCCGGATCGATTTCCTCCCGGCCTTTTCTCCTTCCTCTCCCAGGCGGAATGGGATCTTCCCTTAAGGAGCACGTGCGGAGCCGAGAGCGGGGCATGAGACCTATATACTTAACTTACTTGGTTTCCAAGTAAAAGGCGGTCCCAGTTGGGGTTGGCTTGACGCATATTCCTCTTGGCACATTTCTCTCTTTCGCCCTCCATTCGTGCCTCTTCAAATTCTGCAGCACTGCTGGTCACAGCTGACCTCCAGCTGGAGCGCTCAAGGGCCAGGGCTTCCCAGTTCTCAGTGTCTATGCCAGAGTTTTTAAGGTTGGTTTTAAGGCCATCTTTAAATCTCTTTTCCTGTCCACCGACATTCCGTTTTCCGTTCTTGAGTTTGGAGTAGAGCAACTGCTTTGGGAGACGGTGGTCGGGCATCCGGACAACACGGCTGGTCCAACGTTGGACCATCGCTTCAGTGCTGGTGGTCTTTGCGCCTTCCAGCCAAGAGATTTCCAGGATTTTTCGGATGTAATCTTTCCAGGAGTTGCATGTGACATCTGTAGACAGTCCACGTTTCGCAGGCTTATACCACGGTTGGGAGGACAATAGCTGAATAAACAAGCAGCTTGGTCTCCCTACGTATATCCCAGTTCTCAAACACTCTCTGCTTCATTCAGAAAAATGCTGCACTCACAGAGCTCAGGCGGTGTTAAATTTCAGTGTCAATGTTGACATCTGTAGACAGTCCATGTTTCACAGGCATATAAGCAGGGTTGGGAGGACAATAGCTTTATAAACAAGCACCTTGGTCTCCTTACGGATATCCCGGTCCTCAAACACTCTCTGCTTCATTTGGAAGAATGCTGCACTCACAGAGCTCAGGCAATGTTGAATTTCAGTGTCAATGTTGACGTCTGTAGACAGTCCACGTTTCACAGGCATATAGCAAGGTGGGGAAGACAATAGCTTTATAAACAAGCACCTTGGTATTCCTACGGATGTCCCGGTCCTCAAACACTCTTTGCTTCATTCGGAAAAATGCTGCACTTGCATTTTGTGGAGAGGTGGCTGCCAACATTTTCTAATGTTACGTCACTAAGCTGTATCTCTGGCATTGGAGAGGGATTGGCTGGTGACTGCTGGAAGAGCACATACGAGAAGCATACGAGAGGCTTCTTGTATGCTTCCGCAAAGGTTTTTAGAGTGGCTTGTAGGTCTTCTTCTGAATGTGCACAGATGATGTTGTTATCAGCATACTGGAGTTCTATAACAGATGTTGTTTTAACCTTGGTTTTGGCTTTCAGTCTGCTGAGGCTGAACAGCTTGCCATCTGTCCGAGAGATTGTTTCCACTCCGGAAAATAAAGTTGGGGCAATAACACATCATTCCTGTATGACACCTGATTCCACCTTAAATGGGTCACTTTGGGAGCCATTGCTGTCCAAGACAGATTTTCCCTTAAGGAGCACGTGCAGGGACTGTGTTCTTCATTCCGTCTTGCCTCATGGGCCAAGCGGGGCCAAGAGCAGGGCATGAGACCTATCCTCTTGGACTCACCGCTGAGCCTGGATCTTCATGTTGCATGGTAGCCTGGGGGGCGCTTTTGCACAATTAAAACTTGTGCGCCAGCTGTGCCCGCACCTTGGGAAGCCACGGTGATTCATGCTCTCGTTACATCCCGGATAGACTACTGCAACACACTCTATGTGGGACTGCCTTTGAAGACTGTTCGGAAGCTTCAAATAGTCCAACGAGTGGCAGAGAGGTTAATAACTGGGGCGACATACAGGGAGCACACAACAGGGAGTCAGCTGCATTAAGATCACTACTGACCAAAAGGTCATGAGTTCGAAGCCAGTCCGAGTCGGAGTGAGCTTCCAACCAATTTGTGTAGCTTGCTGTCGACCTTTGCATCTGTCAAGTAGGAAATTTAGGTAGCGTGTATGCAGGGAGGCTAATTTAACTAATTTACGACACCATAAAAATCTCCAGCAAGCATGCAAAGAATGAGGAAGTACTTCATCAGTGTCACAAATGGTTGGTGAAGGGACAGCTCCCCTGGTGGCCAGAAGCTGGAATGTTAAATAGCCTCTGCCTATATATGTTGTGTGTCTATGGCATTGAATGTTTGCCATGTATATGTATATTGTAATCCGGCCTGAGTCCTCTGCGGGGTGGGAGGGCGGAATATAAATACTGTAAATAAATAAAGAAAGAAAGTAATAATTAAAACAAAATATAATATATAATATATAATGAATTATATTATAATGTAATAATTTATATAAAATTATATATTTAATAATTTATATAAAATTATATTATATAAAAATGATAATATTATAAGGAATGCAATATAATACTAATAATAATACGATATTATAATTATATATTTCGTATTACATGTAATATTACTAATAATAATGCAATATAATAGTATAGTACAATATACTAATATATAATACTGATATTGTGCTATGCTAATAATATAATATACAGCTTTGAGAAAGGCAGGGTCGAAACATCGTAAATAAATAAATCATTTCAAAGCTCCCTGGTTGAGCGGTGATGGCACGATCGTCAGCGTAGATGAAAGTCTCTTTCTGTCGCTTCTGGCAGTGGCTGTTCGTTTGTGTCAATGTTAAACGTTGATGGTTTAACATATCTGTGGAATGATGTCCAGGGTGGGAAAAAGAACCCTTCATAGCATTTAATGGCCTAGCAGCTTCAAGGTCTGGCTTCTTACTGCCCGGGGAGCATTTAATAGCCTATCCGCTTGAAGGTCTGGCTTCTTACTGCCCGGGGGAGCATTTAATAGCCTATCAGCTTGAAGGTCTGGCTTCTTACTGCCTGGGGGAGCATTTAATAGCCTATCCGCTTCAAGGTCTGGCTTCCTACTGCCCAGGGGAGCATTTAATAGCCTATCCATTTCAAGGTCTGGCATCTTACTGCCCGGGGGAGCATTTAATAGCCTATCCGCTTCAAGGTCTGGCTTCTTACTGCCCAGAGGAGCATTTAATAGCCTATCAGCTTGAAGGTCTGGCTTCTTACTGCCCGGGGGAGCATTTAATAGCCTATCCGCTTCAAGGTCTGGCTTCTTCCTGCCCAGGGGAGCATTTAGCCTATCAGCTTGAAGGTCTGGCTTCTTACTGCCCGGGGGAGCATTTAATAGCCTATCCGCTTCAAAGTCTGGCTTCTTACTGCCCGGGGGAGCATTTCATAGCCTATCAGCTTCAAGGTCAGGCTTCTTACAGCTGGGGGGAGAAATCCTTTGTTGGGAGGTGGTTAGCTGTCCCTGATTATTTCTTGTCTGGAGTTCCTCTGTATTTTTGCATCATGGATGGACCCATGCCAACAAAAGAAAGCCCATGAGGCTACAGTACCACAGCTTCAAGGACTGTGAGGTATTTTCAAGGACTACAAAGCCCATGAGGCTTAAACTCCTCGCCCTGGGAGTTCCTGAAGCCCTTGAAAGGAAAGCAGCCTTCTGCGCATGCGCGCTGTGCTGGAAGCAGGGGCGGGTTTTTCAAAAAATCCACTCTTTTGCTCGGTTTGAAAACCTCCTCCGCCCATTGGCTCAATTAGATTAATCCCGCCCTACCAGTTGCTCCCTTATTGGCCGAACGATCGGCTTTCCTTGTTAACTATTGGTAGAAAGTGTTGTCAATCTAACCGGCTTTTTCCCTCCCTTCCAATTCTCTGTCAATCATTGGGCAACAAGAGGCATGATTGGCCAACTGGAGTAAGACCCGCCCCCCTCCTCAGAAAGTGTTCTCAATCTAACCGACTTTTTTCCCCTTCTCCAGTTTTCTGTCAATCATTGGCCAACACGAGGCATGATTGGCCGACAGGAGTAAGCCCCGCCCTCCGCCTAAGAAAGTCTTATCAATCTAACCGACTTTTTTCCCCTTCTCCAGTTCTCTGTCAATCATTGGGCACCACGAGGAATGATTGGCCGAACAGAGTAAGCCCCGCCCCCTCCTAAGAAAGTGTTCTCAATCTAAATGTGTCAATCATTGGGCACAACGAGGCATGATTGGTCGACCAGTGTAAGACCCGCCCCCTCTCAAGAAAGTGTTCTCAATCTTTGTCAATCATTGGGCACAACGAGGCATGATTGGCCGACCGGAGTAAGACCCGCCCCCTCCCAAGAAAGTGTTCTCAATCTAAATGTGTCAATCATTGGGCACAACGAGGCATGATTGGTCGACCAGAGTAAGACCCGCCCCCTCCCAAGAAAGTGTTCTCAATCTAAATGTGTCAATCATTGGGCACAACGAGCCATGATTGGCCGACCGGAGTAAGGCCCGCCCCCTCCCAAGAAAGTGTTCTCAATGTAACCGATTTTTCCCCCTTCTCCAGTTCTCTGTCAATCATTGGGCATAACGAGGCATGATTGGCCGGCCGGAGTAAGCCCCGCCTAGTCCTAGGCTATGCCGCGATTTGATTGGTCGCTCACGAGAAAGGGGCGGAGGAAGCGGCGGCCATTTTGGCTCAAGTGGCGAAAGTGACAGGAGAGCGGAGGAGAGGGCGCCGGAGAAGGAGCGCTGGGCCTCAGCGCCTCGACCCTCGCCTCCGCCGCCCTCCCGCCTGCAGGGCCGCCATGTCGGAGACGCTCGGCGAATACGTTCGCTCTGAGGAGACTGGCGAAGAGAAGCAGGTGAGAGAGGCCGGGTAGGCCCTTCGCCCCGCCCCTCGTCGCAAAGCCGCCCCTGATTGGCTGCCCTCGAGCAGTGCTCTTCCCTCATTGGCTCGCTTCTTTGACGCAGGAGGGGACGCTCTGATAGGCTCGCCGCCACGCCCCTCTTCCAAATCCGCTTCCTATTGGTGGTTTCCGATCAGCGCTTGCTTTTCATTGGTTGGCGCCTTTACTTGGGTGGTCTTTCCGGTGTTTAGGGCCGTTGGGGCTCTGAATGTAGTGGGAGGCATCCTGGGTTTCCGGTTTCTAAATACTGAGGCGTTCGTCTGAGGCGAAGATGGTAAGTGGGGTCTGGAAGGGCCTCTTGAGGAGCCATTTGGACTACAACTCGCATCCCATTAGCTGGGAGTGATGGGGGTTGTAGTCCCCACCACTTAGAAAGGCGGGAACCTGAGGAAAACGGATTGTGTGGGTTGTGTGTTCTTCTGGTCATGTTCCAGCAGCATTCTCTCCTGACGTTTCGCCTGCATCTATGGCAGGCATCCTCAGAGGTAGTGAGGTCTGTTTTAAACTAGGAAAATGGGGTTATAAATCTGTGGAAAGTCTAGTGTAGGAGAAAAAAACTCTTCCCTGTTTGAATGTTTCAATTGCTCATCTTGATTAGTATTCAATGGGCTTGCAGTTTCAAGGTCTGGCTTCGTACTGCCTGGGGGAAACCTTTGTTGGGGGTGATTAGTTGTCCCTGATTGCTTCTTGTCTGGGGTTCCCCTATTTTTGAGTGTTCTATGTTTACTGTTATGGTTTTAGTGTTTTTAAGGGGAATTTCAGAAGAAACAATCACGGCCAGCTCATCACCTCCCATTCAACAGCATGCAAGTGTTGGTCTGAGCAGTCCCAAAGTCTCATTATTTATTTACGACAATTATATGCTGCCCTTCTCACCCCGAAGGAGACTCAGAACGGCTTACAAGATACATATATATACAATATATATAATATTATTAGCATGGTACAATATCACTATTAATTATTACTGTATTGTATTATACCATTATATTGTAATATTATTATTGTAGTATTTATATACTGCCTTTCTCACCCCTGGGGGGACTCAAAGCAGTTTATTATTAGTAATATTACATGTAATATAAATATATAATAATTATATTATTATTATTAATAGTAGTAGTACTATTATATTGCATTATATTATAATATTCTAAATATTATATGTATATACAATATATTATATTATTAACATAGCACAGGAGGCTCATAGAGTCTGTGGTCTAATGGAGTGTCAGAGCAGGCAACTTCTCAGGAAACATAAAACAAAAGAAAGAAAGCTGCATACAAGAACATACCTACAATAAGTAAGCAATCGGATTATAACAGAGTGAAGAGAGAGGGGGCCAGGGGACAGTTCCATCTTGTCTCCTGTGCTAGTCTAATAATATAATATATTGTATATACATATAATATTTACAATAATATAATATAATGCAATATAATAATTACAATATTATAATTATATATTTATATTACATGTAATATTACCAATAATATAGGAGCCCCCGGTGGCGCAGTGGGTTACACCCCTGTGCCGGCAGGACTGAGGACCGACAGGTCGCAGGTTCGAATCCGGAGAGAGGCGGATGAGCTCCCTCTATCAGCTCCAGCTCCTCATGCGGGGACATGAGAGAAGCCTCCCACAAGGATGATAAAAACATCAAATCATCCAGGCGTCTCCTGGGCAATGTCCTTGCAGACGGCCAATTCTCTCGCACCAGAAGCGACTTGCTCCTGACACAACGGAAAAAAAACCCCAAACCAATAATATTACAATATAATGGTATAGTACAATATAGCAATATTTAATACTGATATTGTACTATGCTAATAATATATATTGTATGTATATATACCTTGTAAGCTGCTCTGAGTCGCCATTGGGGTGAGAAGGGCGGCATATAAATGTCATAAATAAATTACTAGAGGAAGCTTGGAGAAGATGGTGATTTCCAGCATCTTTTTCCCTGCAATTTGAACCCATGCCTCCACTGTTTGTTAGAAGAAACCCCCAAGGGCCATCTAGATAAATCCCTTGCCAGGTAGGAAAACACAATCAATAAAATTTCCAAATAATTAGAGTCCCTCACACTCCCAGGCAGCATATTCCACTGCTGAATAGCTCATACGGTCAGACAATTCTCCCTAATCTTTAGCTGAAATCTTTTTTTCCTGCTACTCTGTTGTGTCCTTAGTCTCCAGAGCTGCAAAAAACAAGCCTGCCCCCTCTTCAATCAGACATCCTTTCAAGCATTGAAACATGGCTCTCATATCCACTTCTCTCAGCTCCCTTTTTTTCAGGCTAAACATCCCCAGTTGCTCCTCATAGGGTTTGGCTTCCAAATCTTTGATCATTTTGGTTGCCTTTTTCTGTCATTGCAGTGCTTAGACCTGGGCACAGTATTCCAGATGATGATATGGTGATAATAATGATAATAATAATAATATTTAGCTGCTACCTTCTCTCCTCATGGCTTAAGGCAGGATACAACAAGGTTTTAATACATAGGTAGACCGTTAAAATATGTATATTTAAAAGATTGAACAAAGGTTAAAACACATTGACAATCTATATAAATAAAAATGTAATATTTGTTTGTGGGATTAACATAACTCAAAAACCACTGGACAAATTGACACCAAATTTGGACACAAGACACCTATCAGGTCAACGAGTGACCATCACTAAAAACACTGGAAAACACAGCAGAAGAGACTTAAAAAGCAAAACACACACACACACACAAATTACATTACAACGCTTGCGCAAAACCACTTATACACACATTCACAAATATACACACATTCACAAATATATTGTTGTTCATTCGTTCAGTCGTTTCCGACTCTTCGTGACTTCATGGACCAGTCCACGCCAGAGCTCCCTGTCGGCCGTCACCACCCCCAGCTTCTTCAAGGTCAATCCAGTCACTTCTAGGATACCATCACAAATATATATATATATATATATATATATATATATATATATATATATACACATATATATATATATATATACATACATACACACACACACATATATGTATATACACACACAAAACACATATACACAGAGAGAAGGAGGGAGAGAAGGAAAGAAAGGAAGGAAGGTAGAGAGAGAAGGAAGGAGAGAAGGAAAGAAAGTGAAAGAAGGAAGGAAAGAGTGAAGGAAGGAAAAAGAGAAAGAGGGAGGGAAGAAAGGAAGGTAAAGAGAGAAGGAAGTATGGAACCACAGAGCAAAGGAAGGGAGGAAAGAAACTGGTAGAGACTGTAGAAAGGAGAAGAGAAATAAAAAGGGAAAGAGAAAGAACAAAGTAAGGAAAGAGGAAGGGAAGGAAGGAGAGAAAGAGAGAGGAAAGTTTGGCAACGTGTGGCAGGGTACAGCTAGTAAAATATAAATTTAGAATTCATTCAAATTGACCGAGTAGGCATTTCCAGAACAGATAGGTCTTTCATTCTGTTTTAAACTAGGTACTTGTATATTGCCGGATTGCATTGGATGCAAAATATAGGTGCTGGGAAATTAAATCAATTTTATAGTGGGACGGAGAGGGTTTATCAAGATGGTAAGAATCAACGATGGGCAGAAAACAGCCCTGGATGTATTGCTATTTGGTGTGATTCTGGTAAGAGTTCTGCCCTCTCCCTTTGGAATATTTGCATATGCATAATAACATATTTTGGAGATGGGGTCCAAATCTAATAATGAAACTTATGCATTTGTCACGGAGATTGTAAATAGTGTTGTGCATGAAACAAAGTCATTGGTCTATCAGAAAGAACGATGTCCCTCTCTCAGGCACCCAAGGTAACAATTTTGGGGATTTTGGAGCATTTTTCATCATTCTGTTTCTAATATTGGTGTGGATTTGTTTTGCTAATCCCCAGGAGATCCGTTGAATCAGAAGAACTTACGCTTTGATTCACTGGCTGGGATTTACAGTTCAATTAAGTCCATTGTAACGAGAGGGAGAAACAGTTCTCCTTCCCTTTTTGTTGCGCATCATTTCATAAGTTTCTCCTCTTGCATTTCTGTCAGGAAGCATCAAAGCATCAGTCTTGTGATCTGCTGAGAGCTGCAGAGAGAATGACTCTTCAACCGTTTGGGGGTGTAGTCACAGCTAGTGGAGTGTGGAAAGTTGTCCCAAGCCTGCTTATAAAAACTCCCTGTTTGGTTGAAGAGTCGTTCTCTGAATTGCTGCAAACGCACTGGCCCCACAGCACAGGGAAGCACTGTTTTCTTTTCCTTCTTTGCCAGGGGCAAAACCCAACTGTGGGCAAGTTTCCTACTCATGGGACCATACAAGAATCGTCTTTTCAGCCAGTGCTGGATTGCTTCCATCTCCGTTGTTTCTGTAACTGGGAGGGGTAGGGAAAGGGTTCTGACTTGTCCTTAAGGCCTGGTTTCAAGACTATATTGTCAGGAAAGGGGCTAGTCTTGACATGAAGATCTGGGTGTAGAGGGAAAAGAAGGACTTGGACCCACCTTGTATGAAATCAGGCGACTGATCCTATTTATTTATTTACAACATTTATGCTACCCTTCTCACCCCAAAGGGAACTCAGAGTGGCTTACAGCTTCTGCCAACCTAGCAGTTCGAAAACATGCAAATGTGAGTAGATCAATAGGTACCGCTCCGGCGGGAAAATAACAGTGCTCCATGCAGTCATGCCGGCCACATGACCTTGGAGGTGTCTATGGACAGCGCCGGCTCTTCGGCTTAGAAATGGAGATGAGCACCACACCCCAGAGTCAGACATGAATGGACTTAATGTCAGGGGACAACCTTTACTTTTTTATATTATTACCATAGCACAATATTAATATTATATATTATTATATTGTACTACAGGGTGAGGCAGCATAACTTCCTTTTTTCAAAACTTAATAAAACCCATTGTATGAATCAGAATTTTTTAAAAAAAAATTTATAATGTAGGCGCATACCAAA